CCCTTCGCGCGGTTTCTTTGTTGCCCATGCAGGATGCGCGCGTGCGCGCCGCGCGCGCGGCGGCCCGGCGCCCTCGCGCACTGTGTTTTCCCACGCGAGATGCACGTGGGCCGTCGCCCGCGCGGCGGCCCATGACCCCTCGCGCAGTGCGTGTGTGCGTGTGTGCGTGTGTGCGTGTGTGCGTGTGTGCGTGTGTGCGTGTGTGCGTGTGTGCGTGTGTGCGTGTGTGCGTGTGTGCGTGTGTGCGTGTGTGTGCGTGTGCGTGTGTGCGTGTGTGCGTGTGTGCGTGTGTGCGTGTGTGCGTGTGTGCGTGTGTGCGTGTGTGCGTGTGTGCGTCTGTGCGTGTGTGTTGTGTGTGCGCGTGTGCGTGATGTGCGCGTGCGTGTGTGCGTGTGTGTGTTGTGTGGTGTGTGTGGTGTGTGTGTGTGCGTGTGTGTGCGCGTGTGTGTCTGTGTGGGCCGCCGCGCGATCGGCGGCCCATGGTACGCTCGTGCATTGTGTTTTTCCACGCAGGATGCGCGGGGGCCGCCGCGCGCGGCCGCCCGCTGCCCCTCGCGCATTGTGTTGCGTCGCTCCGTACAGAATGCATGTAGGCCGCCTCGCGCGCGCATTCTGTTTTTTTTTGCGTTCACATGATGTGCGCGTGCCGCCGCGTGCGCGGCGGCCCTGGCCGCTCGCGCATTGTGTTTTCCACGCAGGGTGCGCGCGGGGCGCCGCGCGCGCGGCGGCCCATAGACTCTCGCGCATTGTGTTTCCATGCAGGATGCGCCATCGCGCATCGTGTTTTTTTTTGCATATAAGATGCGCGTGGTTCGCCGCGCCCGCGGCGGCCCTGGCCCCTCGCGCATTGCGTTTTTCCCATGCAAGACGAGCGCGGGCCGCCGCGTGCGCGCGGCAGCCCAGTGCCCCTCACGCATTGGGTTTTCCCATGCAAGGTGCGGGTTGGCCGCCGCGCGCGCCGCGGCCCACGGCCCCGCGCGCGTTGTGCTTGTTCAAGTCAAGATGCGCGTGGGCCGCCGCTCGCCGCCGCTCGCGCGCGGCGGACCATGGCACCTCGCGCGTTGTGCTCGCTCCATATAAGATGCGCGTTTGCCGCCGCTTTTGCGCGGTGGCCCATTGCCATTTGCGCATCGTGGTATTTGCGCATGCAGGACGCGCGTGGGCCGCCGCGCGCGCGGCGGACCTGGCCCCTCTTGCATGGTGTTCGTTGTTGTTATATATGATGCGCGGGGGCCGCCTCGCGCGCGGCGGCCGATGGCCCCTCGCGCATTGCGTGTGCGCGTGCGTTTCCATGCAAGATGCGCGTGGGCCGACGCGCGCACGGCGGCCCGATGCCCCTCGCGCATTGCGTTTGTGCATGCAAGGTGCGCGTGGGCCGCAGCTTTTGCGCGGCGGCCCATTGCCATTTGCGCACTGTGTGCTTCCATTCAAGATGTGCGCGGGCCGCCGCGCGCGCGGCAGCCCATTGGCTTTCACGCATTGCGTCTTGCCGTGCAAGATGCGCGCGGGCCGCAGCACGGGCGGCGGCCCTGGCCCTCGCGCGACTTGCGTTTGCCGTGCACGATGCGCGCGGGCAGCCGCGCGCGCGGCGGCCTTGGCCCCTCGCGCAGTGATGTTCAATGCGAGATGCGCGCGGGCCGCCGCGCGCGCGGCGGCCCTGGCCCCTCGCGCACTGTGCGTTTCGGGATCAGATGCGCGTGGGCCGCCGCGCGCGCGGCGGCCCATGGCACACTCGTGCATTGTGTTTTGTTCATACAAGGTGCGCGTGGGCCATCGCTCGGTCGGCGACCCTGGCCCCTCGCGCATTGAGCGCGTTCGTGCAGGATGCGCGTGGGCCGCCTCGCGCGCGGCGGCCCTTGGGACACTCGCGCGCTGCGTTTGTCCATGCAAGACGCGCGTGGGCCATCGCTCGCGCGGTGGCCCGGGCCCCTCGCACATTTTGCGTTTATCATTGTAAGATGCGCGCGGCGGCTTTTCTCGCGCATTGCGTTTGTCATGCAATAGTCGCGCGGGTCATCGCGCGCGCGGCTGCCCTTGGCGCCTCGCGCATTGTTTTTTCTCGTTCCCCTGCGCAATACGCGCGTGCGCGTGGGCCGCCGCGCGCGCGGCGGCCCTTGGGACACTCGCGCGTTGTGTTTGTCCATGCAAGGTGCGCGTGGGCCGCGGCACGCGCGGCGGCTTTCGCGCCTCGCGCACGCTATTTTTTTGCCTCGCAAGATGCGCGTGGGCCGCCGCGCGCGCGGCGGCCCTCAATCGGAAAGTCGCCATGCTGGCCTGCGAACTCATGTGAACCCGCAGCGTTTGCCGACTAGTGTTCAACGTAACATACGGCCTTTACGTTTTCGTCGATCGGCGCGGCCCACAGCGCGCCGACGCGCGCGCGCGCGCCCGCGCGGCGTGGACCCGCAGCCGTTGCCGATTGGATTTCCCACTTAACATGCGGTCTGTCCGTTGTGTTTTCGCCCACTGGTGCAGCATGCAATACGCCGACGCGCGCGTTCGCGTGGCGGTTTCTGTTTTGTCCGCAATGAGAAAATCGCCTTCCGGGCCTTGGCTCCGCCGTGAACCCTTAGCGCTTGCCGATTGAATTTCCAACTTCGCATGCGGTCTTTACGCTTTCGTCTATTGGGGCAGCCTACAATGCGCCGACACGTGCGCGTGGGGGTTTCTGCATTGTCAGCAATACGAACGTCGCCACCGAATGGAGTTCCAAACTTAAGTGGTCTTTACGTTTTCGTAGATTAGTGCAGCCGACAGTGCGCCGACGCGCGCGGGCGCGCGCGGCGGCTTCTGCGTTGCCCGCCATAGGAAAGTCGCCATGCTGGTCTGGGAACTAACAGTGAACCATTAGCCCTGCTAGTGGGATTTCCCACTTAGCATGCGGTCGTTACGTTTTCGTCCACTGGTGCAGTCTACAATTCGCCCGCGCGCGCGTTCGCGTGGCGGTTTGTGTTTTGCCCGCACTAGGAATGTCCCCGTGCTGGCCTGCGAACAGAAGCGAACCTTTTCTAGCGATTTCCGATTGGGTTTCCAAGTTGGATTGCGGTCGTTACTTTTTCGTTGATCGGTGCAGCCTACAATGTGCCGGCGCGCGCGTGGCGGTTCTTGTATTGTTCGCGATGGGACAGTCGTCATGCGCGGGTCACTTCGCTCGGGGCAGCCCCCTTTTGTATGCCCAGAGTGCATTCACCAGAGTGCACTCTGGTGAGTGAGTGCACTCTGTCTGGCGAGGCGATGGTGCTGAGAATGCACTCGTGGTGGGTGCGCGCGCCGAGTGTGCCTGCCGAGCGTCGGCGCAGAGTGTCGGTGCCGAGCGTTGGCGCCAAGCGTCGGCGACGATCGTCTTTGACGCGCCGAGTGTCGGCGCCGACCGTCGTTGACGCGGGGGGTCTCTAAAGACCTGCCGCCTCGCGCGAACCCAACGCAGGAATCTGCCCCTGGGCGCGGAGTGCCAGGGCGGTCGCGAGGACGCCCCCTGCGGTCTGGTTTTCCCCGCCTTCTTTTTGTATTCTATATGCGCACGACAGCGCCGCGAATAATTATTTTTGAAGCTGCCCCCCAGATTATTTTTAAAGTTTGTTTTGAACATGTAATCGGGACGGGATCGGCCCTTCGGCCAATTTTTCCCTCACATTGTTTCATGGGCAGGGGAAGTTCAAGCATCTCGTAAAGCCTGCCCAACCCGCCAGTGCCTCCCACAAGGTGGACGACCTGGCAAAGAAGAGGCCGTACATCGGGGAACAAAGAATTGCACGCACAACGCGGACAGGAACAAGTAGCGCTGTCCAGCGCCGGTCCAAAGAACTCCGCGCGGGCGTCCGAAATGCGTGCGAATGCCGATCTTGGCGCCCCGATATAGACGCGCGGGGGATGCAGGGCTGCAGGAGAGTGGCCCCAGAGGGGGTCCCGCGTGGCCTCTGCGGTGCCACCGCGGGCCCCTGATGTGCACGAGAAGCGCGCGCGTTTCTACTTTACCCCGCGCTTGCTACCCTCCGTTGGCGAACGCCCGATCCTCCGAGTTTCGGCCCGGCCCCGCCGCTGAGCATGCGAAGCTGCGCGCGTTCTACCCCATCGTCCTCCTCCTCTTCCTCCTCCTCCTTTTCCTCCTCCTCCTCCTCCTCCTCCACCTCCTCTTCCTTTTCCTCCCCCATCCTCATCTCCCTCCTCTTCCTCCTCATCCCTTTTTTTGCTCCTTCACCCCACGTTCTTGCCAGTTGTAACGAACACACGAGACGAGTGCCCCGCACGATCGCCCAGCACGATGGGCTCCTGCAGAGGGCACCTGTACACCACCGCCATGCCTGGCCAGGGACATCATTGTCTCCTGGGGTTGTTCCTGCAACCTCCTGGCCTCGGCCGGGAGAGCGCAGACACAGTGCCAGATGGCCCAGGATGGCTCTGACCAGGCATGGTGCTGGCATGCAGCTGATGTCCGCGTACCCACCAGCCGTTGAGCGTTGGGAGTTGGTTCGATTGGATTCCCAGATTCCAATATGCTTTAGGCGCCCCCGTACTTCAAGGATCGAGTAGTTTCTTTTGTTCCTCGTCTTCAGGGGCCGGCGGGAATCCAACCTACTTCAACGCTTTCTGGCCTGATGCCACTGCCCACTTTTTTCCGACCGATGGGTGGCCTTTGAGCGGGCCTCTCCCGAGCGGCTATGCGGTGCCGCCATCTGCATGCTCTGCCGTTGTTGTCGAGCAGACGTGCTCGCCTCCTCCCCACTTCCGCGCCTTATCTCAGTAGTTCGCCCCTCACACACATGTCTGCGCTGACGCTTCTGGATCCTCTGCGCAGTGCTGCTGCCCACACATAGCAGTTGTTGGCATCAAGACCTTGCGCGAGTTGCTTCTCACTTGTGTCTTGCTCACGGACAAGTGTAGTGAGAGGTATAGCAACTTCACGGCAACCATGTTGTTGCATCACCGTGCTAGCGTGTTCCTTGGGTGTTGTCCGTCAGCAGAAGCACATGGGTGCGATAGCAGTCATTGTAAGAAGCCAGGCTCCGTTCGACCCATCGCGGTTGCGGCCTACACAGTGTGGCACTGCGACATGGCGCCGACGATGTTGCCTCTTCTCAATTCTAAGAGATCGTGAGAACGGCCATACGGTAAGCCCAGTTGAAGCAAGAAGGACATTGCATACAGCGGTTATCCGAGGTCTTGCCGTGACTTGTTTCAGTGTGTTTAGAGGGTGGCGAGGAGTAACTAACCGCATGGAAAGTTGTTGCAGTTCGTTGGGGAGAGGGTCAGGAGGTGAAGAGTGGGAGAGCGGGGGAGAGAGAGAGAGAGAGAGAGATGGAGGGAGAAGACAGCGATATCGTAGGAACAAGGTTTCGTGGGCTGTTTGCGGTTGGAGCGTTTTCGTTTGGCGCGCCAGCCTGCCGGGAGAAAGTGGTGGAGCGGGAGGGCCTCGGCAGCGACGAGTCGGGGAAGTCTGGGGCGCTGGGCGGGTTCCCGTTGAACCCCCGGAGGATATGCCAGAGGGCAGACTTGTAGACAACCGTTGCGGGATCGATTGGCGTCGTGGCAAGGTTTAGCGTGCGGCAGGCAGGAGGCATCATGAGCGGGAGGATAGAGACCATTTCTTTATTGCTTGGGGCATGACGGGCGTCATGGCCCCCGCTCCCCCGCCCCCTATGACGTAACGCTCCCCCACCAATGCGCTCCAGGTTCTGCCGCCGTGCACGCTGGGATCCGCGTAGGTGTCCGCGTAAGAATCCGCATAGGAGTCTGGTCCGCAGTCGTCGTCGTCGTCGTCGTCGTCGTCGTCGTCGTCGTCGTCGTCGTCGTCGTCGTCGTCGTCATCACTCGTGGCTCGTGGCTCATCGTCGTCGTGCGCACGGACGCGGCTGGAGCCTGTTATTGTTCCGGGCCGATCGCGGCAATCATCTGAGGGGGTGTGGAGGGGGTCGATGACATGATGTTTCGCGCCGGCGGCGTTTGGGAATGCTTAGGAATGACGGAAGACGGGTAGCACCAGCATGTAGGTGGCGATCTGCACCACAACTCTTGTGTACACTACAGTGCCTGCGTGCACCACAGCGCCTGTGTACACCACACCGCCTACGTACACCACGGCAGCCGCGTGCAACACAGCGTCAGTTTGTGCCACCGTGCTTGCGGGCACAACAGCTGCCGTGTACACCGCAGCGCCTGCGTACACCACATCAGCCGTGTGCAACACAGCACCAGTGTACACCATGATGCCTGCGTGCATTGCAGTGCCTGTGTACACCACGGTGCATGTGTGCACCACAGCAACCGTGCGCAACACAGCGCCACACTTGCATATCGAATGTTAGATGGAATCCGTATGACAAAATGGAGCGCTTGTGGATTCCACAAAAAAATACAAAATAACCATTATGGACAAAGGAGCGCCGCTGGAATCTGCGAGTTCCCCCGAGTCCGCCCGCATCACCCTAACTTCTCCCATCTGCGTCCAGGAGGCTCCAGCGAAATTGGCCGTGCGAGAATCAAGTGGACCGATTCAATAGACCATTATGCGGTGCACTGCGCGCTGAATTGCGCACGTGCGCTGTAGCGCCGCCCTGCACGACAGGCGGTGAGGAGGAGGAACGGGAGGAGGAGGAGGAGGAGGAGGAGGAGGAGGAGGAGGAGGAAGAGGAAGAGGAGGAGGAGGTGGAGGTGGAGGTGGAGGGAAGAGGGAAGAACGTCGCATTCGATTATCAGCACTGTCCTGCACGCAGGCACTGGTGTACTGGTGTAGACAGGCGCTGTGGCGTGCACAGGCGCTGCGGTGCACGCAAGCACTGTGGTGTACACAGGCGCTCTGTTGCACATGGTTGCTGCGGTGTACACATGTACACCGGCGCTGTAGTGTACGCAAGCACTGTGGTGTACACAGGCGCTGCGTTGCACACGGTTCTTGCGGTGTACGCAGGTGTTGTGGTGTTCGCGCGCGTTGCAGTGGGGCATTTCGCCACCTACATTTTGCTCGCGTCGTCGTCGTCGTCGTCGCTCGTCGCTCGTCGCTCGTCGCTCGTCGCGTCGTGCGCGCGGGCGCGGCTGTGGTGCCGGAGCCACACGGCGGGGCTGGGGGCGTTACGTCATAACCCCCCCCGCCCCCCCCCCATGACGCCCGTCATCGCCGAGCGTAAAGAAACGCTCTCATACGAGTGTTTCTCTCGAGCGAGGCTCGAACCGAGGGGTTCCTCACACGGCGGATGGAGAATTGCCCGCCGCCTGCTGAGGTCGGGGAGGCGTAAAACTCCGGTTGGCCGACGCTCTTTGACGGGCCCGTTCCGAATTCAGACGGTCTAATTTCCGTGGTATTTTTGCACCCGAATTGGCAAATTTCAGATTTGGTCTTGCCATTTTCCTGACGGCCCCGCCAGGCCAATCCGAGTCCCCCGAGCTTGAGTCTTACGTCTGATAGAAGTTTGCCCCGTCCACCCGTCCTGATCGCCCGTCCGACCCGCTCGCTTGAATGTCCCGCCCGACCCGTCCTCGTCGACGTCGTGGTCGTTCTTCAGCGGCATCATCGTCGCCGCGGGCGTCGTCGTAGTCGTCGTCGTGGTCGGCGTCATTGCTGTCCTTAGCGTCAACGACGTCACATCCGTGGGGCCCGCCGGGCCCGCTGGCCGCAGGCGCCAATGTGCACCAACGGCAGCCAAGACACGCCCGGGCTAGGCCAACGGGTGGGGAGTTCTGCCCGCCCGCCGCGCGTGCCGCGAGCGGTCTTTGCAGAGCTCGCCGTCGACGAAAAAACGCCACATACATCTCTTTTGGCGCTCCGCGCGGATTTCTTGCGTCTGCGCTGGGCCCCCCCGGGCGGCGCCTCTGGCGCTGCCCCTGGCGCGCGGAGCGCGCCAGGGAGGGGGGGCCAGTAGAAATTTAAGATATCCGCGTGGAACTCCAAACGTTCATGTTTATGGCGCTTTTCCTTTTTCCGAATTACAGGAAGCGGGTGCCTTCGGTAGTAACCCATGAGTTCCCTGTATGTTCGTACGACCGGAATTGGTACGGAAAGATTAGGGAAAGAGCAGGGACGGAAAGGATGGGTATTTTCAATGTAGCCGCGCGGTTGTTTTGGGATGGTGCTCTAGCTTCAGATGTGGCCGCATCCCCGATTGGGAATTGCCACGTAGATCGACAGCCGCTCTTGTCCATGTTGACCCAGTTTTGCTGTCTGTGTCGCCGCGAGCGTCGCCCATTTGAGACACAAGCTCGCCTGCCCGAACGCAGCCGCTGCCGGTGTTGGACAACATTTGCTGTTGGGCAGCGTGCCTATTCTCCCCGTACCCAGCGCGGGCGGGCCAGCATGTCCTCGAAATTCCGACATAAGATTGAATTTGTGTTCGCTGGCGGGAAGCGCCAACGTAGCTTCGATTCAGCGTCGACTAGCGTCGGTTAGCGTTGATTCGCCAGAGCCAACAGGATGAGATGTGAGGCTCGCTGTGAAGGAAACGAGTGTCGGGGGCCCCAAGACGCTATGGTGACCACACCGTGTGTCAGGTGCAAAGATCGGGGGGGATGGCACAGGCAGGGTGCATCGACCCCCAGTCGCCCATGGATTGCCGATATGGGGCCCGACAGCCCAAACCCGCCCAGGAAGGTGTTGTTTCGCTATCGGGGGCCTATCGTCGATCTATCGACAGTGTCAATGTATCGCCGATTCCAGGTCGATGCATCGCCTCCATGCCTGTTCCCCACCTGTCGTTGCTCCTCCGTGTTGTGGATCCGTGGGGATTCGGGGTCACCGCACGGCTCTGGGATGCGCGCCGTGTTCTCCGAGGAGGCGTCGGGCGATTTTGGGACCCCTTCCGAGGTCCCACGACCGTGCGTTGACTCAGTTCGTGCGGTGAGGTCGCCCTCCAGGGCGCGAAGTAATTCGCGCTTCGTGCTTCGGCTTTGAGTCCTCCTCCTCTCGTCCCCTGGGGGGCGGCGTGAGAGCGCGAAGTTACTCGCGTTTCGTGCAGCGCGGAAGCCCCAAGTTAGGCCCTTGGTGCGGTGAGGCCTCGCAGGATGCCGAGGTCACCGCGCGGTCTGTCACCGCAAGATCTTGGGACCCCAACAGTGATGCCCCAGACCCTCGACGATGAGGTTTGGCACGAGGAACTTGTATGAAAAGATGGGCCCAAACAGTGGCGAAGACAATCTGTCTTCTGCGAGTTGTGCGGCATGCTCTTGGGGCATTTCTGGTTCAGGCATCCTTGTTGTAAGACGAAACTCTACGTTATGATAACTCTGTTTGTTGTTCGAACACTCGTGTGTTATATGAACATGTCGTGTACACAAGGATCCGGTACAGTGGAAAAGCGTACAATGGGTGTGGGCAAGTCGTCCCAATTTCCAAGCGTTGGCGCCTCGATCGAAACGCAACTCGATAGAATGTGTAAATTTGTCTCCGTCCCGATTCTGTGTTTATCTCTGAACGTGGTGGTGTTGTGGAAGACGGTGAATGGAGAAGGGGCGTGTTGACAAGTAGTTCCCATCAGTTTTGTAAGGTTGGAAATAGACGCTTGAATGTATCAAACATTGCTTACGCAGCTTAACATTAAAATCCGAGATCTATTTCGCATGTCCAATAAATTGTTGACGATGCGCCTTGGAGGCACGGGAATGCTTTGCGCTGTACGATTGCATCTTATATCGTCAGGGAAGAAGGCCGGCCGCTGTGCCCGGACGCCAACCGCATGTTTGTCACATGGGGCAACCTCGCGAAGGAACCGTATGGGCGACCATCGGAGCACGCAGGAGAGCTTGGAGGGGAGGCCGGGTTGCCAGAGGTTGAAGGTTTTGCAAGTCGTAGGCAATCGTATCATAACGTTCAAGCGACCGTCATTCAATTGCGAAATACCATACCAGCAAATGGGCCGCATCTCTCGCGAAGTGCCTCTATGTGTGGTAAAGGTTGGAATGCTTAGGTGCGGTTGTCCTGCAGGGATGTAAATTTGGTGGCAAGTCCCATTGCCTTGTATCTGCTTAGGGCCTCGCCATTGCAAGCGTTAGGTGTTATAACAAACGATCGCACGTGCATTCAGCTCAACCTTTAGGTGGCCACGCATTCGATTTGCTAAGCGTTCGCGAAGTGTGCGCAACGCCCTTGCTAAACGCATAGTGCCGCCCCTCCCCCACCATCACGGGCCCCGCGGGGGGCGGGGCCATTCTGGCCCGACCTGGGCCACACGGGGGGCGGCGGGGCCCGCGCGGCCACCGCGGGCGCCGTCGAGGCAGTCGGCGGCCATGGCCGCGACTTCGCTGCACGATGGGGCGCCGAAGGGGGAGGGGGGGAAACAAGACTCCAAGATAGCCCCAAGAATGGGGCCAAGAAGGCCCCAGAGTGCCCCAAGACGACTTGCGGCAATTTGGGGTTTATTTGGAGTTCTCTCGAACATATTTTGGAAGCTTGCCCAGTTGAGGGTCTCTTTGGGGTAATTCTGGAAGTCCCTTGGAGTTCTCGCCCCTGCCGCCCTGTCTGTTTCGTTGCGTTGAGATCCCCAGGTGCACGGCTCCACTTATCCGCGTCTTGTTTTTCTTGATCCTCCTCCTCCCTCTCCTCCTCCTCCGTTTACTTTGGTATCTTCCCCTCGTCCGCATCCGTTTCTATGGGCTTCTCTCGTCGGCGTTCGGAATCCCCCGAAATTCCAGCAATCACCCCAGCGCCCTTTCCTCCTTTTCGCCGTCGCCCCGCTCCGAGAGGGCACGCAGAAGGTCGACGAGCAGATCGAGAAGGCCATCCAGCAGCGCGACAGCGACAGCCAGGTCGTGAAGGGCTGGGTCAAGATCCTGGACCCGATCGCGCCCCACTCCTCGAAGTGGACGGCTATCCACAAGCCAGACGCGCTGGTCGCGGATCCTTCTAATCGACGGGGCGTCGGCATGTCGGCGCCACGGGGTGCCGAACCTCCGCGCCCCCCTGCCCCTCCTTCCCCCCTTCCTCCTCATTGCCCCCTCATCATCTCCATCGCTCCCCCTCCCCCTTTTTCACGCCCCGCGCCCCTTCCGACGGCGCGGCGCCCCCCCCCCCTTCCCCCTTCCTCGCCCCCCCCCCCCCCCTCTCCTCCACCGCGACCCCGCGACCCCCTTCCCATCCACTGGAGGGCGAAGGTGATTTTTTTTTTCTCAGCATTGCGAGGTTTCGGAAACCTTCGCCAACCGCGCTCGCCGCTGCAAGAGCGGCTACAGTTCCAGAGGGACCAGCGCCGACAATTGGGCCGCGGAGCTGCGCGCCAGTAGCTCGCGCCGCGCCCCCGCAAAGCTCGCTGGCGGACGTCTGCGCTGGAAGTGCGGCGCCCGCAGCGGGGCGCTGATCATCGGGGCGGCCTTTGGAGGGTCGCACGGCGTCTGCCTCTTGAGAGGCATCCTCGGCAGATTGCCGTTCGACGACCAGCAGGTCGCGCCGTCTGATTATTTCGATCTGGCCCACTTGACGTCGACGCACCCAGGTATTAGAACTGCGATCAACATGGGGGCTGGACGCGCACATGCCGAGCGCCGACTTGGTGGACGGGCGCCCCAGGATCGTCGCCGTCGGGCAGGCCGCCTTGAAGCACGAGGCCACGCTGGAGGTGGCGGAGATGGAAGGCCTCACGCGGACGCACCGCCACGCCGAAGTTCCGATCGGCAAAGGCAAGAGCGATGGGGGCCGCGCGGGAGGGGGCCAGGGCAGAAGCAATCCAGCAAGAACTTCGCTGGGGCGTTTACTCGAAGAGCATCGCGAAGGCCGCCCGGGTGGTTTCGGAGGAGCAGCTCGAGGAGCTGCGCGACATGAGAGCCATCATGTTCAGGGCCCCCTTCGGGCGCGCCAGCGTCGCGGGGGATGGTCGGCGGCTCGTTCTTCGAGAACTGCCGGCCTCAAGTGGAACGCGGCGACGCCGATGAACAGGGTCCGGATAGCGGCCGTGGCGAGCCGAATGCCAGCGCGCCCCCTGAACGGAAAGGTCGGCGGGGGACGTAAGTTATGGACAGCGACTTGGGGGAGCTCACGCCCCCCCAGAACTTGATGCTCGCGCAGGGGGCCGAGCTCGTCACGCAGGAGGCGCGGGAGATCGTCGACGGCGACGACAGCATGGAGATCCCGCGCGACGCCAAGTTGGAGCTCATCGCGGGGAACGACATTCGGCGCGCGAACTTCCTGCTCGAGAAAGGGAAAGCATCGAAGGACCTTGGGGGGGCAAGGATTGAGGACGAGGCGGGGCGACGCGGGGGGGGGATGGGGGTCGACGGGAGGATGGGCGACCCCCCCGCCACATCCTCCTCCTCGCCGCCCCCCTTCCTCATCGGAGCCCCGCCCTCGCTCTGCATCTTTCATTTTTTCTGACTCCTCATCCCCCCCCCCCCCCCCCCCCGCCCCCGCCCACAACTCCTTCTCCTCGCCTCCCCCCGCGCCTTCGCCTCGCCCCCCCCCCCCGCCCCCGAGCCCCCCAGGGGGCGATCGAGTTCAAGCCCCCGGAGAGCAGCGGGCAGGCAGGGCCCCCCAATCCCGATCAGAGAAGAAACAACAAACAAAAACTCTAGGATCCCGACCCCGCCCAAACAGAGCAAAGACAAACTACGGGTTTCCCAGTGCAGAAGATCATATGATGGGTGGCAAGCGAGAACCCCCCTGCTCCCCCCCCCCCCACAACACACACACACACCTGTCCTCCCCCTCCGATCCCATTCATGTTTTGAGGTCCGAACTTGGG